TTACGGACCCCGTCCGTGTAATTGCTACCATCATCTTTCAACTTTGCTTTCTCAAGGAACGCATTAAAATTCAACGGAACAACAACACGGGCCATCTATCTACAATCAAACATAAACAAGCAAGATACTATCAGGTACTAAGTTCATGATAAATTTAGGTTCAATTAATCATATTACTAAAGAACCCCCACTTAGATAGACATCCCTCTAATCCTCTAAGTGATTACGTGATCCAAATCAACTAAACCATGTCCGATCATCACGTGAGATGGAGTAGTTTCATTGGTGAACATCACTATGTTGATCATATCTACTATATGATTCACGCTCGACCTTTCGGTCTCCGTGTTCCGATGCCATATTTGCATATGCTTGGCTCGTCAAGTATAACCTGAGTATTCTGCGTGTGCAACTGTTTTGCACCCGTTGTATTTGAACGTAGAGTCTATCACACCCGATCATCACGTGGTGTCTTAGCATGAAGAACTTTCGCAACGGTGCATACTCAGGGAGAACACTTCTTGATAATTAGTGAGAGATCATCTTAAAATGCTACCGTCAAACAAAGCAATATAAGATGCATAAAAGATAAACATCACATGCAATCAATATAAGTGATATGATATGGCCATCATCATCTTGTGCTTGTGATCTCCATCTTCGAAGCACCGTCATGATCACCATCGTCACCGGCGCGACACCTTGATCACCATCGTAGCATCGTTGTCGTCTTGCCAATCTTATGCTTCCACGACTATCGCTACCGCTTAGTGATAAAGTTAAGCATTACAGTGCAATTGCATTGCATACAATGAAGCGACAACCATATGGCTCCTGCCAGTTGCCGATAACTTGGTTACAAAACATGATCATCTCATACAATAAAATTTAGCATCATGTATTGACCATATCACATCACAACATGCCCTGCAAAAACAAGTTAGACGTCCTCTACTTTGTTGTTGCAAGTTTTACGTGGCTGCTACGGACTTAAGTAAGAACCAATCTTACCTACGCATCAAAACCACAACAATTGTTTGTCAAGTTCATGCTGTTTTAACCTTCGCAAGGACCGGGCGTAGCCACACTCGGTTCAACTAAAGTTGGAGAAACTGACACCCGCTAGCCACCTTTGTGCAAAGCACGTTGGGAGAACCGGTCTCGTGTAAGCGTACGCGTAATGTCGGTCCGGGTCGCTTCGTCCAACAATACCGCCGAACCAAAGTATGACATGCTGGTAAGCAGTATGACTTATATCGCCCACAACTCACTTGTGTTCTACTCGTGCATATAACATCAACACATGTAACCTAGGCTCGGATGCCACTGTTGGGGAACGTAGTAATTTCAAAAAAATTCCTACGCACACGCAAGATCATGGTGATGCATAGCAACGAGAGGGGAGAGTGTGATCTACGTACCCTTGTAGACCGACAGCGGAAGCGTTAGCACAACGCGGTTGATGTAGTCGTACGTCTTCACGGCCCGACCAATCAAGCACCGAACTACGGCACCTCCGAGTTTTAGCACACGTTCAGCTCGATGACGATCCCCAGACTCTGATCCAGCAAAGTGTCGGGGAAGAGTTCCGTCAGCACGACGGCATGGTGACGATCTTGATGTTCTACCGTCGCAGGGCTTCGCCTAAGCACCGCTACAATATTATCGAGGATTATGGTGGAAGGGGGCACCGCACATGGCTAAGAAAACGATCACGTGGATCAACTTGTGTCTGTAGGGGTGCCCCCTACCCCCGTATATAAAGGAGCAAGGGGAGGAGGCCGGCCGGCCCTATTGGCGCGCCAAGGAGGAGTCCTCCTCCTAGTAGGAGTAGGAGGGGAAAGGAAGTGGGGAGGGAGAAGGAAAGGGGGGCGCCACCCCCCTCTCCTAGTCCAATTCGGACCAGGGGGAGGAGGCACGCGGCCCACCCTGGTTGTCCTTCTCTCTCTCCACTAAGGCCCATATGGCCCATTACTTCTCCCGGGGGGGTTCCGCTAACCCTCCGGCACTCCGGTTTTCTCCGAAATCACCCGGAACATTTCCGGTGTCCGAATATAGCCATCCAATATATCAATCTTTATGTCTCGACCATTTCGAGACTCCTCGTTATGTCCGTGATCACATCCGGGACTCCGAACTAACTTCGGTACATCAAAACTCGTAAACTCATAATATAACTGTCATCGAAACCTTAAACGTGCGGACCCTACGGGTTCGAGAACAATGTAGACATGACCGAGACATGTCTCCGGTCAATAACCAATAGCGGAACCTGGATGCTCATATTGGCTCCCACATATTCTATGAAGATCTTTATCGGTCAGACCGCATAACAACATACGTTGTTCCCTTTGTCATTGGTATGTTACTTGCCCGAGATTCGATCGTGGGTATCTCAATACCTAGTTCAATCTCGTTACCGTCAAGTCTCTTTACTCGTTTCGTAATACATCATCTCGTAACTAACTCATTAGTTGCAATGCTTGCAAGGCTTATGTGATGTGCATTACCGAGAGGGCCCAGAGATACCTCTCCGACAATCGGAGTGACAAATCCTAATCTCGAAATACGCCAACCCAACATTTACCTTTGGAGACACCTGTAGAGCTCCTTTATAATCACCTAGTTACGTTGTGACGTTTGGTAGCACACAAAGTGTTCCTCTGGCAAACGGGAGTTGCACAATCTCATAGTTATAGGAACATGTATAAGTCATGAAGAAAGCAATAACAACATACTAAACGATCGGGTGCTAAGCTAATGGAATGGGTCATGTCAATCACATCATTCTCCTAATAATGTGATCCCGTTAATCAAATGACAACACATGTCTATGGTTAGGAAACATAACCATCTTTGATTAACGAGCTAGTCAAGTAGAGGCATACTAGTGACATTTAGTTTGTCTATGTATTCACACAAGTATTATGTTTCCGGATAATACAATTCTAGCATGAATAATAAACATTTATCATGATATAAGGAAATAAAATAATAACATTATTATTGCCTCTAGGGCATATTTCCTTCAGTTGATAGTCTTCAAGCGGGTCCATATGGGTCGGGTGCTTATTTCTTGCCTAAGTTTTTACAACTCTTGTTCTTGAACTATTAGCTTTTGAGTTGTAACACTTAAACTTGATGGTCGTCTGCCACTTTTGCTGCTACCTTATGATGCGATGATAAATCCCGCATGAAGTCATTCTGCAGACGCTCATTTCTCATTATGCATTTCGTTATCTTCATTACATTTGTGTATGCAAGATGAATGGTCTCCATGTGTTGAAGAGGATCTCCACAAAGCAAAACCTGCCATGTGCAGCTGCATTCAAAAGCAAAACATTTATATGCACATCTTCAGGGGGAGCCTCTTCCAACCTATGAAGACAATGCCCATGTACTTTAATTTTTCACATACTTTTATCCCTATTGAAAACTTCAACCAGTTTGTCATCAATCACCAAAAAGGAAGAGATTGTAAGTGCATCTAGTACCACCCCTAGTTGGTTTTGGAGTATTGACGACAAACATGGTTGAGGGACTAATGTGTTCGTGAGAATTGCAGGATAACACGGGTAGTAGTCCCTCATTGATACGATTTACCCACCAGAGATGACCCCTAAAAATGTATGAAGACATTGAAGACAATGGTGGTTCGTGAAGACATTCACGTTAAAGATAGTGACTTGTGAAGACATTCACTTGAAGACTATGGAGTGCGAAGACATGGTTTCTTTCGTAGTTCCATTTTCTTCTTTATTGAGTGATATGAACCATCGAACTGTTAAGTGGGGTCCAAATGAATAAAGTCAGATGACTGAAGTGATGCTCAACCAAAATCCTATGTCTTCGAACGAAGACAATGAGAGCGAATCTTATCCAGAGTTGGATGAGTCAGCTTTGATTGCAGCCCAAGCCAAGTTGCCGCGTGTGTTTGAAATCCGACTGTTGGAGACGTGTTGGTTCCTTAGTGACCCAGGGTCATTTCGGACATATCATGTCGGGTTGCCTCCTGGCTATAAATAGCCCATCCCCTACACCATAAATTGGTGGCTGCTCCGAGTTAGTGCACGACTTTTGTCGTTTAAGAGCAACCCACCTCCGAAGCCTTTGAGAGCGAGATCCTTGCGAGGACAAAACCCAAAACATCCAGAGCGAAAAGAGTGTTAGATATCATTGACGTTTTTTTGTCCGCGTGACCTGAAAACTTGTTACACTTGAGGATTGTGCATCCTTCAGCCGGTTAGGCGTCATGTTCTGAGAATCCAAAAGTCATTGTGGATCGTCGGTGAATGGAGTCTGTGAATATTTAAAAGTCTACCTTGAAGACTTACTAGAGTGATTGGGTAAGGACTAGGTGTCCTTAACTCAAGGGAATAAGGTGAAGACACATTCTTCTGAGTTCAATCTCAGCCTCCCTAAGTAGATGTACAATTGTCACAGCAACTGAAACTGGTCTACCAAATCCTTGTCTTCCTCAAGCTACTAGTTTTATCCCTTTCCTTTTTTACATTTCAATTTGTCTTCGTGAAGTCTTTGCTTGCTTGCCTAATCCATTTGAATTTGACTTTACTATGCAAAGGCGATTGGAAAGTGCTACGGAAGGGAAGAGGAAATGTGGGTAGGGTTTCCAGATCTTACCTGAAGGAACGAAAAAAAAAATGACGAGCATTTTGTGCCCAAACATCATCGCAACGGGCAGCATATGCTTTGGTTGTGCGCAATGCGAACCCTGCTGCGCCCACGCATACCCTCAATCAAGAAACCAAAAAGACAGCGCCCACGCGTCGCAGCGTCTGCACCCACCGAACCCATCGCTGTCCCCTTTCCCCCGTTTCACGCCCGCCCACGCGGCCCCGCACCGCACAACGGCTCGCCACAAAGCCAACAAACCCAGCAGCCCCAGCCCTTTCCGCCTCCCCCCGCTCCCAAACCAAGCCCCGCCCCCGTTCTGTCCCTCCGCAAAACCCTAGCTCCGTACACGCGCGGCGACCTCCACCATGAAGGGCAAGGCCGACACCTCCAAGAAGGGCGAGGGCAGGTAAGATCTCCGCCTCTTTCGAAACTCCGCGAGGAAGGGTGCGGGGATCTCCGCCGTGGCCGGACATTTCACATCTGTGTAGGTTGTCTGACTGGTTGGTTCTTGCAGGCTCAAGGCCGCCGGCGGCGCCAGCAAGAGGAAGAAGGACGCCGCTGCCGCTGGCAAGCCCAAGCGCCCACCCTCCGCCTTCTTCGTCTTCATGTGAGCCCTGGCTCTCTAGCCCTGCTATTCCATCTCCCAGATCTCCAGATCTGTTCTACTTCTTGTTCAGCTTTGGTGGTTTCGTCCGGGTTTCTTAGTATATCTCGTGCCTGTTTCGCAGGTCTGAGTTCAGGCAGCAGTACAACGCGGAGAACCCCAACAACAAGAGTGTCGCCAACGTGAGCCACCTTACCCTGTTTTCTTCTCACTTTTATCTTCGCTTGTATAGACATCTCAAGCTGCCTTTGCCGTGCTGAGTGATTAGGTGAGCAAGGCGGCGGGTGAGAAGTGGAGAGCTATGTCTGATGAGGTGAGTGCATCTTTCAATGCTCAAACAGTCTCTGCATAGATCTTTCCTAGTGAACTTACCTGTTACTGTACTTTCTAAACATTCCTAAGCTGCACATAATTACAGCTTTTGTTCTTCAATGTATGTTTATGTGAAGTGGCTCTGTTGTAACTGAATAGTTAAATGCAATCTGCACATCTGTTTGTTCCAATAAACAACATATTCGTTACCGGGTGGCATGATAAATGTACTGTATATTTGGTTTATTGACCGGTTTAATTTGTTAGGACAAAGCACCTTATGTGGAAAAGGCTGAACAGAAGAAGAAGGACTATGAGAAGACCAAAGCCACCTTTGATAACAAGGTAACCTTGGGATCATGGTGCATGTTCGTCCAATTGTGAAGGTTACAAAGTTTTAGTGCTAATTTGACGTATCTAATTCTTTCAGGAGAGTGCGAGCTCCAAGAAGGCCAAGACTCAGAACGATGAGGAGGTCAAATCTGAGGTCGAAGATGAGGGTAGCGATGAGGTATAAACATTGAGCATTTTGGTTGATGGTTGGTTTATGTTTGTAGCGCCCAATGATGTTTACCCGCTAGTGCTTTTAGTGACACTCTTGATTTTTCTGTCTGCAGGAAAACGAGGACGATGATGAGTAAATAGTGTATCAGAGTATGAGGTAGCAAATTGGGTGTTGGGTCCCCGCTTAGTGTACTAGTTTGCTATCCTGCTATCCTCAGTGTTAGATGATGAGATTTGGAAGTAGATGTTGTGTTTGTGTGTTAAGGGGGCCCTTTTAGACTTGTGGACTCATGGTTTGAGAAGTTGCTTAGTAGTGTATTAGCAGAGAGGAAGCTGAGAATGCTACCAGCTGTTCCAATGCTTTTCTCTTGCTAACCACCTGTGTAAGAACTTGTTTTCATTCGCTAATCTGATGACTGCCCAGCCATTGGCTCTTGGTTAATTTCGCCTTAAATTTGTCGTGGTTACTTCTTCTGTGTGCTACTGTGTGTAATCTATCTGCTTCGTTTGGCTTTTTGTAACTCGGTTGAATTCTTAGCTGTGACTTCATCTGCCCGAGTCTGTTGGTGATATTTGGTGTTTGCTGGGATTATTTCCGAGCTACAGAGTAGAATATGAACTACTCCTAGATTAGTGGGGCTGAGAACGTATTGTATAATTTGCTAATCTGCTGTTTGAGAATTGGCCGGTGTTGCTCTTTCTGGACGACATTTCAATGATGCTGGCACGGGACAAACAACTTGTCCAGGCGAGATGCAAATGGTAACTGCATTTTTGGGCAATATGAGAAGCCGTGTCCCATCCAGCGCGGATCTCTGCCGGTTTGCTTCAAGAGAAGCTCTATTTGTTGATCTCGTCATGGCGTCTAACTGCAGGTAGCGGTGCGGCCGCAGGGTTGCCTAGATGCTGCAAAACAGCAGATGCTGGTTAGGAGACGCAGCCGCTCAGGATAATGCGAATATTAATAACGCGATTTATAACTCGTCGTCTACGCTTCCGTAGCATAGTGGTAGTGCGTTCGCTTCGTAAGCGAAAGGTCGTGAGTTCGATCCTCACCGGGAGCATATTTTTTTGGCCTCAAGATTTTGGTAAAGGTTCTCTCCCCTTCGTTCAGTCCTACGCTTTCCTCTTCCTCTCCCATTTTGACTTTTTCTCTCGCGAAAACCGCCTCAAACACATTATAACAAGCATTAAAGTTTCTTTTCCCGCATCCCACATTTGCACAAATACTGTGATTCTCAAGCAGACTTAAGTTTTGAAGATCAAATGGGGATGTCAAATTGAAGTACCAAATGAAGAGAAGCGAATGATATGATCCAAGAGTTAGCTATATTTTATATTTATTATATGATAAAACAGTATAACTGGGTCGATAAACCCCTAACTTTCTTTAATGTAGTCTTATACAGGATGTAATTATTGTTTGATATCAATAAAAAGAGCCATGACAGGCTTCCCTAGGGAAAAAAACGCAACACTGCACATCCCACTCCGTGCATACCGTAACATTGTACGGCTGAAATTTATCCTAATCAACCTAACAAAAAGGTGTAGGATGAAAATTGATCCTAATCAGTTCAAAACAGGCATATGTCTCGACGGATAAAAGGCATTGGAGTAAATGATTATGAACTGGGAGATGTAGAGAATTATTTAATTTTACGCACGACAAACATTTAAATATCTCACAACAAAATGGCATATCCAATTGTTCCTTAGCTACAGTACATGGATAGTATTCTTCCAATGTGCATGAATCATTGTTTGAACTTCACAGTCTTTTAAGTGTGATTTCTTTTGATCTGGTCAACAAAAACTTTCACCGATAATTAATAAATCATTTGAAAAAAATGTTGTACAAGTATTTCAAAAAATCTAGCCAAGCATTGGGAAAATGTTAAATGTGTATAGATTAAATATTGACCATACATTAAAAATAGTGATTTTTATTATTGTATATTAAAATATTAATAAGTCATTTGAAAAATGTTAATCAAGCATTTGACAAATTGTTAAATGTGTATAGAAAAATGTTGACCATGCATTCAAATAATATTTATCTTGCATTTGGAAAAATGTTGATAAAGCATTTGAAAAATGTTAAACGTGCATAGAAAAAATGTTGACCATTTATTAGAAAAATATTAATTTTGCACTTCAAAAATTTTAATCAAGAATTTGAAAAAGTTTAAAGTGCGTATAAAAAAATATTGACCATGAATTCAAAGAATGTTAATCTTGTATTTAAAAAATATTAATCTAGCATTTAAAAAATATGCATAGAAAAATGTTGACTATGTATAAAAAATGTTAAATTTGTATTGGAAAGATGTAAACATGTATTAGAAAAAATGCTGTTGACATATAAAAAAAATGTAGAATGAAAATCCAAACTAACCAAAAAAATGAAAACTAAAAAAGAAACAAAATAAACCAAAAGAAAAAGGAAAATGAAAAACAAAACGAAGAAATAAATGAAAAAAGAATAAGAAAAGGAGAAGAAAAATGAAAAGAAACAAAAGAAATCAAAAAAGAAAAAGAACAGAAGAAAACCGAATGAAACAGAAGAAACCGAAGAAAGTAAAGAAAAAAACAAAAGAAAACAGAAAATCAGTGTAAAAACGGCTCTTTTCGTTCTAGTAGGTTATGCACGACTTATTAAACACAAACTCGATGTTAGCTCAGTGGGTAACAATTCTAAGAAGCAACCAGGAGATCCCAGGTTCAATCCCCTCTCGTAAATATATACCCTAATGGGCCGGCCCGATTAGTCAAAAAGCTTGAGCAAGATATAGCGCTCGCGCTCCGGCTTATGGGTTTAGGGCGTTGCCCGGCACGGCTCGGTTTTCTATGAGTTTTTTCATGTTTTTTGTTTTCCCACGTGGGCATTTTATCATTTTTTATATTGGACGTCGTTGGGAGCAGATCCACTCGATGCGCTGGTTCGTCTCCTCATGACTCATGAGTTGCACCAATTAGTACTAGAGACTAAGGCACGCTTTGCTGCGCCATTCTTCATTCGTGAAATTTACTTTTTTATATATCTATTGATTATTGTGATTAGTTGTTTTGCTTTGATTTTATCTGTGTGACTTTTTTTAATGTTTTTATGGTATTTTTTGAGTATTTTTTTCAAGAGAAGAGACAAGTTATTTGATGTATGGTTGTGAAGCCTTTGCACATTTTGCCCTTGTTTAAAAAAAAAGAAGAATTACCCTAGCCTCTGCATCAGTATGATGCTCACAACCATCTTTATTCATTATTCACCAGAGTCTAACAAAATCAATAGAGGGATCAACCCGAAGCCTCCTTCTAGGCGAATACAGTCGCTACACCTACAAGTATACAGATGCGCCATGTCCGCATAATAGACACAATCTAATTCAGTGGGCTTAAGACCATCCCGTCTAAGCGTCCCATAACGTGCATCGCCTGCGCACGCTCTAGAATCCGTCGCCGCCATGGCACGGCTCGGTTTTCTATGAGTTTTTTCATGTTTTTTGTTTTCCCACGTGGGCATTTTATCATTATTTATATTGGACGTCGTTGGGAGCAGATCCACTCGATGCGCTGGTTCGTCTCCTCATGACTCATGAGTTGCACCAATTAGTACTGGAGACTAAGGCACGCTTCGCTGCGCCATTCTTCATTCGTGAAATTTACTTTTTTATATATCTATTGATTATTGTGATTAGTTGTTTTGCTTTGATTTTATCTGTGTGACTTTTTTAATGTTTTGTTGGTATTTTTTGAGTATTTTTTTTCAAGAGAAGAGACAAGTTATTTGATGTATGGTTGTGAAGCCTTTGCACATTTTGCCCTTGTTTTTTTAAAAAAAAAGAAGGATTACCCCAGCCTCTGCATCAGTATGATGCTCACAACCATCTTTATTCATTATTCACCAGAGTCTAACAAAATCAATAGAGGGATCAACCCGAAGCCTCCTTCTAGGCGAATACAGTCGCTACACTTACAAGTATACAGATGCGCCATGTCCGCATAATAGACACAATCTAATCCAGTGGGCTTAAGACCATCCCGTCTAAGAGTCCCATAACGTGCATCGGCTGCGCACGCTCTAGAATCCGTCGCCGCCATGGTGTCAACCTGTGGTGATTGTTTGAGCCTCTTGGGAGTTCTTATTTCATGCTAAACCAATGGAATTGCTATTATGACGCTCACATGGGTCAGCACACAAAGATCTTGCTCGCTCAGCTTGGCTCCCTGCTCCTCTCGCTCGTTTAGTTTTTTCCCCTCACCCCACTGCTAGCTCAAAAAAAATGCCTATCTTTTTTTATTTGAAAAGGTTAGTTACATTAAATGATGTTTAATGAATTTTATAAATATTATGACTTTTAAAAACCATGAATTTTAGAAACATTCATGAATTGAAAAATATATTCATGGTTTCAACATGTTCGTAAAATAAAAACTTCTCAAACTTAAAGTATGTTCACAAACTTTACATGACCGTGAACTTAAAGATATCCACAAATTTAATAAATATTAACGAACTTGAAGAATTAAAAAATATGTTTATGTTTTTTAAAGTACACAAATTTTAATAAGTTCTCATGAATTAAAACATGAAAAAATAAAAAGAGAAAATAAATAAATCTAAACAACACACACTTACGTGTGGGGCCCTATTGACCCCCACAATCCTCGAAGCACCACAACGCTTCAATTCAAGGGAGCTTGAGATCTCTATAGATGTGTTCCTTTTTCTTATTTCACCTTTTGCTTTCTGATCTTATTTATTTTATGCTTTTTTCCTTACTTTATAATTTTTTTGTTTCTCTTTCTGTTTTAGGAGTACGAAATATTTTAAAAAATTGTAGGAACATAAATTCTGACACCCATGAACAACTATTTAATAAATTGTATCAACCACAGTTGCACAACCCCCTTGACAACGTGCAACTAATTGGTGGGAGGGTAGTAGTTGCATTTTTTTTCTTCACAAATACCACTGACAATTTTCATCTTTGATTTTGCTGTTTGTAAGCAGGGATCTATGCAAAATGGGATGAGGGCTTAGAACCACTTTATCGATCTTATATTTTGCTACAATCCCTCGTATGCATTGGGGTAGGAACGTTTTCGGCGACCCTTATCTTTTTTTTTTCTAACCTAT